TGCAAGACACTGTTATGGGTACCATGGGAGGGATTCCTGGATGAATAAGCCATGATCTCTGCTCATAGGATTGCATGAGATTAATGTCCATACACATATGATCTAAGATGAAGTCTACTGAGTGTTACAGGAGAGGCCTGTAGTGTACTGGGACTACGGAGATGGGAGAAGTTCTTTCGGTTAGTAGTGATGAGAAGGAAACAGGGCTTGCAAGGAGAGGAAGCAGCGGGTACAAAGGTCCTATAGAATATAGGGCAGGCGTGTGAATTGGTTTTTAACCCAGTTCAGCCAGAATGCAGGTTAAACAAAAGAAAAGAGCAGAAAATCAAGTGGGGGAAATAGGTTGAGGATCTTGGCCAGCAGAGTTCTTACATGAGAAAAAATTATTTCTTAAAGCAAGTGTTGTGCTTTTGAGTCTCAAAGACTTTGAACATAGTACAAAAGAGTTTGAACTTTATAATGAACCATCAAGGGTGTTTTAAAAGAAGTGCTGAGTTAATGTGATAGTAGCTGTACCATGTAGGTTGTGTCAGAAGGAGGAAAGATTTTAGTCTGTTAGGGGATTAGTTAGGTGGCCTCAGTAATCTAGGCACGAATTATGACTAAACCAATGAGAAGGAAAGTGGGGACAAGTATAATAAACATTTCAGAGGTGGGGTTGACAGCTGAATGAGGGGAAAGAGAGGTCCAAAATAAATAAGAAGTTTTAAGCTTATGTGACTGAGAAATCAATGGGTAATATTGATAGAAACAGGGACGATAAGCGGAAGAGTGGGTTTTGAATGATGATGACAGTGTACAGTGTACAGTACATGGTGGGAGGTGTGTGGGTGAGAAGTACATGTTCTACAAGTAGTGATTTTCAAACTATGTATTTTTAATTTTGTTTTTATTGGGGTAGAATAGACATGCAGTAGGTTTTTCACCTTCTAGTGTATAGTTCTAGGAATTTTAACAGGAACACACATTCGTGTAACCAGTACCACAGACAAGATAAGAACAGTTCTGTCCCCCCTAAAAATTCCCCATGCTCCTTTGTGGTCAACCCCTTTCCCCCACCTCCTCTCCTTGTAACTACTGATCTTTTTCATAGTAAAACTATTTTAAAGAGTCCTTGGTACCACAGCAAACACCACTCTGACAATCAAGAGGACGGAGTGCCAAGCCCCCAGCCTTTGCCCTGACTTCATCTGGACAAGTTTTACTAATCTGTTTTCTGTGTTGGCATTCTCCTTCACATTTTGGGTGGGGTGGAAAAACTTACATAGCTAGCTATCTGAAAACTGTTATTCTACAGTGCTACTGGTCCTGCTCTGTCTGAGCCACCTTGATCTCCAACCTGGGTTGTTGCAGTAGCCTCGGGGTAGGTTTCCTCGCTTTGACCTTTGCCCCCGACTGTTATAGCACTCGGCATGATTCCTTTACAATATCGATCAGATCATGTACTCTTCCTTCTCAAAATTGTATAATAATAACAATAAAGGCAAGTCCTGAAAAATGACCAAGAAGGCCCTGAATTTTCTGGGTCCCCTGTTAATTCACCAGCCTACTCTCCTCCTACTCCCCACGGTGCTTTGATACTGGCCTTCTTTTGTTCTCAAACAGATCAGCCATGTACTGTGCTCATTTTAGGACCTTTGTTTTATCTTTTTTTGTTTTTAAATTAAAATTCACACAACATAAAACTCACCAGGTTAAAGTACATTCACAATATACACCGTCACATCCATCTGGTTCCAAAACGTCTCCATCACCCTCACATGAGACATGTATCCCTCACGCAGTCTCCCATTTTTCTCTCTTTTTCTAGTCTCTTCCCTCCATTGTCCCCACTGCTGGCAACCACTAACTTGCTTTCTGTTTCTGTGGATTTACCTATTTCATGTAAATGGGATCATGCAATATGTGACCTTTTGTGTCTGGCTTCTCTCACGTGTAATGTTTTCAAGTTCATCTACACTGTAGCATGTATCGGTACCTCATTCCTTTCTGTGGCTGGATAATATTCCATTGTGGACATGCCATATTTTGTTTATCCATTTCTTCATTCATGAACCTTTGGGTTATTTCCACCTTTTGGCTATTTTGAACGTGCTGCTATGAACATTCATGTAACAAGTACTTGTTTGAATACATGTTTTCATTTCTCTTGGGTATATATCTAGTAGTGGAATTGGTGGGTCATATGGTAACTCTATGTTTAACTTTTTGAGGAACCACCAAACATTTTCCATAGCAGCTGAACCATTTTCCATTCCCACTAGCACGTACCTTGGTTTTTACATCTTTATTTCCTTCCAGTTTTTACTCATACTTCACCTTCTCAATGAGATCAGTCCTGACCACCTGATTTAACCCTGTAACCCGCTCCCATCTCTACCCTCATCTCCTTAGCATTCTTCTCCCCCTTACACTACCTGCATGTTTCCCAAAACTTTTTTTTAGGCACATGCATAATATTTCATTATACTCACTACCTGGTGCACATAGAAACTCCTACTCTTCCCCAAATCATAGGACTTACTCATCCTAACAGTCCACCAGACGCCTGTCATTGCAAGAGTATGTGTAGTTATAGAAACAGTAAACTTCACGTATCCCTTAAAACTTGGTGCTCGGTGGTTGAGAACCCTGCTTTATCATCTGCTGAATAACAGGGTTACAACTTCATGATTTGGAATTATTTTGTTGATTGGGTTTCCTTCAAGGGCTTCTCACAAGTATAGCAAACTTTACAACCTATTCATACTTTTAAAAAGCCAATTGCGTTTCCAGCCTAGGGACATGAACCTTTATGGGAAGCTCTATACTGAATGGTAATAGCTTCCTCTTTTGCCGGTAACACAACTGGAGTGTAGGTGATGACTGTCTTCAAGCTGTTTCCTTAGTCTCTCCTCGGTCAGAGAAAGAGCAAGAGAATGCATCTTAGAGGTGTGTGCATAGCTAACTCCATGGAACACCACGGCAAGGTCTCATCTCACGAGCATAAGGCGTGCAGGCTGGTGTCTTGGCTCCAGCGTCTGTGTGTCTCAGCACCGCCTTCAGATGTGGTTGGAGCAGCAGGAGGAGGGTTAGCTTTCACCTTCAGTTTATAACTTCCTTTTAAATAGGTTTCCTGGCATGGATGTCTCTGTTCTTAGAAGCTCAGCACTTGATTTGCTCACTTTCCTTTATATTTTTTTCCATAATGCTTTCTTTGTTTGTTTGTTTGTTTTAACTCAGGCTTAAGAACTAATTGAGACCACTGTCTTTCCAAAAACAGTCAGTGCTCTTACTGCCAGTTTGCTGAGGCCATGGCTCAACTCAGTAGAGCAGGGTAATGACGTTCAGGAATTACTCGGCAGGAAAATTTTTTTTTTAAGGTTTTGACATTCTGAAGTCAGAGATAAAAGTTTTGGTTGTGGTGTCTGAGTGTTCTTTCAGTTAAACCCAGATGTCAAAATATGACTTAAAGATGGTTAATATAGTTTATGAAAAGGGCACAGAATCGACAGGAAAGAAAGTTAAGAAAACTCCTTGCATTTTGGAAACAGGGCAAGACCAAGGCCTAATTATTGCCTCCCAGCTTGAAATGCGGCCGCAGCTGCAGTCTGCTTTCTGGAAAGCGAGAGAAGATGCAGGAACTGGCGGGCCTGTTCCTTCGAGGATGCTTGAATATGTTGTCAAGGTTCCCTACCCCACTCAACAGAGGGCACGTCATCAGAAACAGAAGAAACCTGTTTTTATCTTTTTTTTTTTTTTTTTTTTTTAGTTTATTTCATGGTTCCAATACCCTTTTCATGCTGTTTGAGTACCTAATTCTTTACAACACGGCAGTGGGTTGAGAGGTGATAGGGAGGAGACAGAATTCATCTTTGTTCTCTTTGTTCCCAGAGACTCTTCATACATTCTACATGTTGCCGTGTAATAGGTGCCTGTTTCTGATTCTCACAGGAGAAAGCTCCCTGCACACGCAGGTCACCTGGCACCATACATTTTCCCAGAATACCCTGTGTGTAGTAGGCCCACACCAAGACGAGAACTAAAGAAAACACCAGAGGCCATGGGAACCGCTATTCAACTATTCAGAGAGGCTCTTCTCTGCCATACCATGAAGCAGCTGAGAAAATCCGTCCTTACAACCCAATAAAATCTCCTTAAACACTCTACTTATGATTCTGGGGAAATTATATGAAAATTGGTGGGCGTTTCTGTTTCTTGTTTTTTTGTCTATAGGACACAGACTAAAGTTCTAGTCGCTTGAGTTTGATGAGATGATTTGCAGGAAACATGAAATGTGATGTGCCGTGGCTATTTTTCTGGAGAGAGCTTTTCTCTAACAGAAGCAGACCTTGGGAAGATTGGTTTCAAGATAGCCGCGTACTAATAGGTAGAAACAGAAATGACTATGGAAACCAGATGTTGTGTCTGGGCCTCGCCTCAGACATGGGGTTGCAGGGCTGGCAGATTTCATTTCTCGCTTGTTTGCCCGCACTGATTAAAGGCCTTTATCGGGTGGTGCGCACAATTGCTGGGCGCCGCGCTCATTCGCATGCTCCCACCACCATGGTTTCTACACAACATGATATTTCTGTTGGCAATTTAAGTGTATTACTTCAGAAATTGTCAGAGTGGAAATCCAGGATGTGAGCAATATTTATTTTTATTTAAAATTACTGGGGGGATTTGTTAGACAATACCTCGTTTCCTGACATGGGCAAGAGGCTTTACAGAGTTTCCCCCTCATTTTCAGGGACAGATTTGTATAACATGTACATCTCAGCTTGTTATTATTGTAGGATTCTATTTGGTTTAATTTAGAAAATTTCAGGACGCTAAGCTCTTCTCCTTTGAAAATATCCAAAAGGCCTTATTTGTGGTTCTGAGCCTAGACTGGTTAGGTTTGTTTTAGAACATAACCATTTAAGTCAGGGGAAAGGAAGGATTGATGACATAGTTCAGTGGTACCCTGTTTGAACACTGTGCCGCCTGACTCACGGTGTGCTTCGTCCTTCCCACAGGTTCACATCCAGCTCTCAGAGTGGCACCGCGCCCTTTTCCTCCCACAGGCCTGGCTGGCATACATGGGCCGAGCGTATCATGCCATCTTACAGGTAAGGAAACATGGGATGGTTTGCTTCAGGGGAGCATCTCTTTATCTCAAATTGTACTACAAATATGTGTTAATGTAAAAGCACTTAGGAAACAGAACTGTCGAACATGCAGTGGTTATATTTGCTGATAACGAATGTAAGACATCAATGCCGATTCCCCCCACCCCGTGTCCCGGCCAGAGCTCCCTCCTGGCGCTCCTCCCCCACATCCTGCTGCCTTCTGAGCCTCTCCCAGATGCCCCATCTTCCCCTGCGATGTCCCAGGGCACCTCAACTTGAGTGCCCCCCAGTCTGAGCTCACTGTCGGCCTTGCCTCCTCAACAGGACTCGCTGACATCTCCAGCCTCATCTTGTCACCCTTCCTCTGACTGTTGTGTTTCAGCCTTGCTAACGTCTTTCTTTTTCAAACTCTCATGTCTCTCCTGCTCTCTTCTGGTGCAGGTACTACCATGCCCTCTTTGCCTACCTAATTTCTACTTGTTCTTTAGATCATTTTATCTGGGAAGGCACCAGTGTGCCTCCCCCTCACACGCTGGACTGTGTGTTGCTCATATGTGCTTCCTTGGAATCCATGCGTCTCTTCCGAGGCCTTTCTCACCTTAGTCATTTGTCTGGGGCCTCCCTCCTGTTGTCTCTGCTCTGAAGGACTAAGAGCTCTGCTTTCTTCTCTGTTGTCTCTAGAACCTGACATATGTCAAAACATGATAGGTGCTCCCTAAATAAATGAATTATACTCCATTTGACTTCATCTAATCCAATAATAATATAGGTTATAGTTTGTGGATTTTTAATATTAGAAATAACTTTTAATCAGTGTGAGAATATATGAACACTTAGCAATATAATAAAACAACTAGCAATTCTTTTTCTGAGCTTAGAATTCATTTTTAAGGATGATAGAAAAAAAAATCTGATGGTACTAAAGTAATTTATGGCCCCAAATTGGATTTTCATAGAGTGTCAGGTGTTACGGTTAAAGGTAAAAGCTGTCCTAAATGGTGATGGTGGTGGGTGGTGATAGTGGTAGTGGTAGTGGTATTGGTGGTGGTGGTGATGGTGATGTGTGTGTGTGTGTGTGTGTGTGTGTGTGTGTGTGTGTGTACACATGTGTGTAAGGAGAGGTGGGGTGGCAGGAGTGGCTATGCATCTGAACATTGTTCTCAAATTAAAACCTTGTTGTAACATATTTTATTGAGTCTAGAATTTATAAAGTACTGATGCGTCTTCGGAGATTCCTATTCATTAGAACTGACTATGGGACCAGGAATCTCCATGTTTACCAAACTCTGCGGTGATTTTAACTCAGTGTTTTTAAGGATGATAGAAAAAAAAATCTGATGGTACTAGAGTGTCAGGTGTTACAGTTAAAGGTAAAAGCTATCCTAAATGGTGATGGTGGTGGGTGGTGGTAGTGGTAGTGGTATTGGTGGTGATGGTGATGTGTGTGTGTGTGTTTGTGTGTGTGTGTGTGTGTGTGTGTGTGTACACATGTGTGTAAGGAGAGGTGGGGTGGCAGGAGTGGCTATGCATCTGAACATTGTTCTCAAATTAAAACCTTGTTGTAACATATTTTATTGAGTCTAGAATTTATAAAGTACTGATGCGTCTTCGGAGATTGCTATTCATTAGAACTGAATATGGGACCAGGAATCTCCATGTTTACCAAACTCTGCAGTGATTTTAACTCAGTCTATCAACCTCACTCTGAGCAAATGTGTTTTAGATGGTGTCCCCCAAACTACACTGGAACCCACATTTTAAAGATGTTCCCTTGGAACAATTGTTTCCTTTTGCTCAGCTTACACACTTTTTTATTCTCAGCCGCATCTAGACACTCAGTTGTGAACAGGTGCATGAGTGAATGACCATTATAGTTTTTATTTGAGATGAGTGAAATTACAAGTCAGTATGCTTTTTCTCACATTTACTTTTCCCCATGCAGTTTCGCAGTATTTTCTTTCACCAAACATTTATGGGGTGCTCTTTACTGGCCGGGCCCTGTGCCGGGGTGTGGGACACAAAGGGGAGTAAAGCACTCCTTCCTCTCAGTGAGCTGCCTGTCCAGTGCTGGAGACGAACATGTACAGGAGCAATTCCAGTACATCTGCGATGCTTTTGTAGAGGATGCACAAAGCACTACAGGGCCTGGAGAAAGCAAGGGGACTCCTCCTCCTGCAGAGTGAACTGCAAATTGTATTTAGCTCTTAGCATAAGGAAGTCTAAATTGAATGGGATTATGGTATAACTCATGCAGATGACTTGCAGTTGATTAAAAAACAACTCCATGGTTTTTGTTTTGTTTTTTATAGTAAGAGCTACGATTTGCTGAATAACTAGTGTGTGTCCAATACTTACCATATGTGATTTCAATTAATCTTTACAGAAACCCTTTGAAGAGGGTATCGTCAACCCCACATATAATGGGATTATAAATAGGGTTAGCTAGGAAAGCAAAGCAAATGGTGCAAATCCCACAGTCACTAAGTGAAAGAGCTGGAATTTAACCGGAATTTTTTTGACTCCAGAACCTCGGCCTTTCCCACTGCATCATGCATTGTTCCCTAATGCATAATGCTACACATTAGTTGTAACAACAAATAATGCAAATTGCTTTAAGATTTTAAAGGATAGATCTATTTTTGAAAAGCCAGCTGAGTATTTTTAGTAATGTAGATCAATTATTCTGCTTTTCTAGTGTTGTGATCATGTTCATCTTTATTTATCACTAGAGGCTCAGTGCACAAAAATTTGTGCACTCGGTGAGGGGGGCCGCTCTCAGCCCGGCCTGTGCCCTCTCGCAGTCTGGGACCCCTCAGGGGATGTCCACCTGCTGGCTTAGGCCCGCTCCCCGGGGGGATCGGGCCTAAGCTGGCAGTCAGACATCCCTCTGGCAGCCCGGGAGCCCTTGGGGCATGTCCACTTGCCAGCAGGAAGCAGGCCTAAGCTGTAGTCGGACATTTTTAGCGCTGCTGAGAAGGCGGAAGAGGCTCCTGCCACCACCGTTGTGCTGGCAGTCGTCAGCCTGGCTTGTGGCTGAGCAGAGCTCCCCCTGTGGGAGCACACTTACCACCAGGGGGCAGCTCCTGCATTGAGCATCTGCCCCATGGTGGTCAATGTGTGTCATAGTGACCAGTCATTCCCAGTTGTTCTGCTGTTAGGGTCAATTTGCATATTACCCTTTTATTATATAGGATTTGAATTTTGAACAGATCCAGTTCCTTTGAGAATTGGTGATAAAAGTGAAAAAATGTCAACTATAATAAGATTGTCAGTGCTATTTGAAGGTGCAACAATATTTTTAGGCTATCTCTATGATTTTAAGGTACACTGGTGCGTTTTAACTATCCAGCAAGTTTTGTAAATGACTCCACACTTAAATAGAATCAATGGTATCTTAGAAGACTTCAAGCAACTGCCAGACTCCTTGTCCACATCAAGAATTTCTTGTCCTGGAGGATACTTCTTCTGCACAGGAGTTATATGTGTGAGACCTGCTTTGTAGCATTAAACTAGAGGATCTGTCCGAGGAGCCACATTGTTTTCCATTAAGCCCAGGAGACAGCAAAAGGGTAGATTCCACATAATTCCCTGCAGGTTGATTTTGTGGTGAATGAGTTTGAGATCTGAACACCACAAGTGGCTTTTGCTTAGATGTCTGCTTCCAGCCTCCTCTACCTTTTCCATAAGATGTGGGATTAGAAAAGATAAGCATATCTAAGTGAGTGCTTGACGCAGGGAGGAATTTGGATTTCTTCTCATTAAGACGGAAACTGCAGATACAAGTTGATTGACAGCTCAGAGTCCATTTTGATAAGGCGCCTTTTACAAACGTCTTTACCTCGCTGCCCTAGTGGGATGCTGAGGAAGTTAAGGGCTCCAGCTTTTGTGTAAAGGGCTCCTAGGCATTTTGAATCTGACCTCAAACAAGAGAGAGGAATTCAGGCAGGCTGACTGTAGACATATCTCCTGAGCCAGTCCGCTCGCTCAAAATAATCTGAAATCAAACCAGGGTCAGGAACTGTGCCCCCTGGTAAATTACTCTCTGGCCATTGTAAGGGTTGTTTGTTTGTTTGTTTTAATGTGTAGGTTTGGAGCCGGGTGAAATTGCTCACTGTAATCAGCAAGCTCTTGGTTACATAGGGTGGAGATTTTTTTATTTTTTTTTTTAAGTAGGAGGGATCAATAGCTTAATAATTGGAATCTCCAGGCAATCCAGAACTCTCAGTTCAGGAGACCGTTTCAGCCTTTTGTCCCAGGCATGCTTTCCAGCCTTCACCACAGCTGTTAGCCAGAAGCAGAGGCGACTGGGCTGAATGCCACTGGGTCTCTGTTAGCAGCAGGCAGAGAACTGGAAGGCAAAGCACATCTGGATAAACAGCCTGACGTGGACCGGGTAGAAGGAGTTAGAGACATCCCAGAGAGGGGATTGAGAAGGACAGAGACTCTGAGGAGGAAGAAAGAGACGAGGTCACAATGGAATGGCTGTGCTAGTTTATGGCCACGGGAGAGATTAGAAAAACGGGCCTTCTCAAGAGGCTGCGTGTGTACTTACTTGCTTTTTTTGTTTTGTTTATCTCCAAACAGATTTTAGCCTTTTGATTGCCTATTGTCTTTTTTGGGGGGAAAGCATTGTCCACCTGCTGGCTTAGGCCCGCTCCCCGGGGGGATCGGGCCTAAGCTGGCAGTCAGACATCCCTCTGGCAGCCCAGGAGCCCTTGGGGGATGTCCACTTGCCAGCAGGAAGCAGGCCTAAGCTGTAGTCGGACATTTTTAGCGCTGCTGAGAAGGCGGAAGAGGCTCCTGCCACCACCGTTGTGCTGGCAGTCGTCAGCCTGGCTTGTGGCTGAGCAGAGCTCCCCCTGTGGGAGCGCACTGACCACCAGGGGGCAGCTCCTGCATTGAGCGTCTGC